ATACACGTATTTTTCAAAGGTAATATACGTGATAACAACCAATTTTATACTTTTAAGAGATTTTTAGTGCTGGTGGCTGAGGAATAACTTTCTTATTGTTCCAAAAGGCTTGAGACATTACTGTATTTCGTTTTATAATGTAGAAGTACACCAATTGCAGGAAACGATGTCTGGCATTTCAATGTCTCTAGGAAAGACATTCTTTTTTCATCAGGCCTAATGTAATGGACAACTCTTTGTTTTTTTAAAGGAAAATCCAAAAATGTTAATTTTTATACCCATTGATTATGTAAACTGAACAGGTGACTCAAGCAGTTTAAAAATAATGATTGTTCTGTGGCACTTTTGATTGTTTCATGCAGTTTTGCTTATCAAAAAACTTCAAGTAATTAATATATAACAAATTATACAGTCACTAAAAATCATGAAATAATTTATTTTTGTAAAAAAATACGACCGACTTCAAAATGCTCTAAAAAGAATGAAATAATTTCAATAAAGTAAACTTTTGTATTAGGCAAGCTCACGTATTTTAAGTCGGCGCGGCTCTATGATGATTTTTGATACAAAATTGAAAGAGTGTGTCCATATTGCAGGTGACTATCTATAACTAAAGGTGTTAATCTGCATGTCTTTTTCATAGTTATGCGTTAAGTTTTATTTTATTACCGTCATCAGAGATAATTATAGTGGTATTAACGAGTATCTTTAAAAAGATTATAACGCATTTAAATGTTTCTAACTTGTAAAAGTAACGTTTTAATACTAAACTAGCTTCTTTTCCCTATCATAATATCAAACTAAATTATTTTTCTATTCATATAGAACATTTGTGTGTGTTATTTTCATAATGCATTTATTCTGAAGAAAACATAAAATACAAGAAAATATTTCCTTTAATATATAAACAAAACAGTTCAGTATGTTTTTTATATATTTATGTTATCCAGCTACAATTTAATGATTTTCAAAATACACACTCAATATTTAATTTCAATCATATTTGCAGTTTGAGCCGCGCCAACTTGAAATACGTGAGCTTGCCTAATACAAAAGTTTACTTTATTGAAATTATTTCATTCTTTTTAGAGCATTTTGAAGTCGGTCGTATTTTTTTACAAAAATAAATTATTGTAACATTAATCAATAAATATTATTTTGCGTTTTAAAGTTCATTAGCATTTGTTATGATTCTTTAAGGTACCTGTTTAAACCTAGGTATTATTACTGTACCTTCGATATTGTCCTAGGTAACATATTGGACTGACAGCCCAATCTCATTATTACATCTAGATCCATAATTTACCATGCTTATAATCCAACCTGCCTTCAATTAAACATCTGGCTTTTTAGAAAATATGTCTATAGTTACTAAGAAACCGAATGTCAATCATACTGAAATCGACAATGATTGGTAAATTGGTAAATCGTAACTAAAACTACCTATTACTGTCGCCGTGATATCGTATCACAACTTTCCGTAACGTTTGATTATAACGTGTCATTTAAATTAACCCTCACAGTTTATGTTCAAACCATTGGAACACTCAACTACCAAGGCAAATTATATCGATAGACTACAACTACATTCAAATAGGCTACAACTAAAACATCGCACTGCGTAATAGAATAACCCAAATAAACACAAGCATGTTCACAAAAGGCAATCTCGCTCTCATCCCGCGTCTCATTTAAGCATACAGTCCGTAAACGTGCTCGGAGCGTGAAATTGTCGTTGTTTCGTCTCAATCTCGCTCCAGTCCAGTCCGAATTGCTCCGTTTATCATCCACGTCATTGTTGTCGCTCGGACATTAGCGCTGTGATTGGTGGCGGTACAATTGTCGGATATGTCTCTATTGTGCGTGATAATAGATGACGTAGAGGTTAGTAATTGTGTTATGTCGGGAACAATGGTGGATTAATGCCGGATTTAATTTGAGGGTGTCTAATAAGGTTTGATGTGGCACTCGAAAGTGAAAACGTGTGAACACTCTGTAGGGTTCATATATTTTTCAAGTTTGTGTTTTTGGGTACATCCTTAGGCAGTGGCTTCATCGATGGACTTTTAGCCGTAAACACAAGTGTTGTGGATTTTAAACAAAATCCCTCCGCTGGAGTTCGATTGAGATGAATACAGTGATGATTACAATGAAACAAACAAACACTCACACTGCGCGTATAATGTGTGAAATAGTTAAGGGGTTAAAAAAAGTATTTTCTAGCGTTTACCATACATCTAAATTATACGTGCCGTCATAGAATAAACAGTTTCCCTTCTATACTGTATCCGGTAGGTCAGCTACAGACTAGTAGCACAAGTTTTGTGTCAAAGTAGTTGTTTCAGTTACTAGGTTATTGATTTCTCGTTATTTGGCCATCATTGGAATGACTACTACCAAAAAGACCGTTTAATTTCGAAACTGCTGTCACAGCTTTACACTTCAAAACAGATAAAATCACAATTGATACTGTTAAATCACTCAAACACTTCTAGTAGTAGACATCTGACAGCGACAGCAAGGTTGTGGATTGTGTAAACAGATCAATGAACTGTTGTCTGATTTACACTCTTCACTTGAGTCTTGACTACAACATGAATCATTCATAGACTCGGCGCCTCCAGATGAGTGGCAGGTCTTCGGTCTTGCTATCTTAAACACGTTATTATTCCTGTCAGAGTTTATGAAACCGCTTGGATTTACTGAGCACCACTTTTCACAGAGAAACTGTTTTATGGAAATACAGTACTTTGGACATTTTTATTAGAACGTGAATTTCATGCATGATGAAGATAACCCTTAATATAGTTTAACTTGAGATAAATGTTATAAAAATCTGTTTGAACTAAGTATTCACCCTGGTAATGATTTTCTGTTGAATTAATTCTACTGGGAAAAATACAAGATGAACATTATATCTTATAACCCATTTGGTTGTTTTTTTATTATAACTAATTGTCTAATGGTTTATTGGTTTAGTTCCTTAGAGAATTTACAGTGACCTTAAAGACACCATTGACTAGAAAGCAGAATAAAAATACTTCCTTGCATGTGTGAAATAATAATAGAATATTCAGAGTTTGCAAACTAAACTTACCGCTGGCATTTCAAAACATATAGGTTATTTTCTGTTCACATCTTTCGGGAATAAAACCAATTTACGACGCGAAGTTTCGATAAACCAAACCTTTATTACTGTTTACAGTTTTTTTATTAGCTCTCTTAGCATTTAACAATTAATCAGTCTGTATCCCCTCTAAATCATGTTGTTAGCTCAAAAGAAAGCTAGTTGAGAAATATAGATTGAAATGGTTAAAATTGTTGTCCAATCAATGAGAAAATAACATGGGAGGGAATTGAAAATTTCGGAGGGGGCTGTAAGGCCCTCACCAAGAAGCGTTAGCAAAAAAAATAACGTTAAGATTTAATGATCGTTTAATGTTGAAAGTTTGGGGCAACAATGACTAGATGTTAGTGACAGATGAATGCTAGCTAACAGACGTTTAAGCTTTCTCATTAATTTAGTTGGTAACAATGGTGACAATCAGGGTGGAAATTGGGCGATAACTGCACTGAGGGCGTCAGCGGACTCATGTATATGCATGTGATTGTGTCGTTTATGTAACGATAAGTGGTACCTCGCCCTCTATTGAAAACCGACATGGAAATATTGTGTGGTCAGCAACTTCAGAGACTGACCTTGGCTTGCTTCCTCAGAGGTAAAATTCGTCCGGTTAAATAAAGTCTTTGAAACTGTTAAAGTTAATTATTTTCATTCAGGTGATGATTTGTTTTTGCAACAACCACCGTTGCTAGCAGTTACAACGTGGAACATGTCCTGTTAGTGTCCTGACTATAAAAGACTGGGATTAAATCCCACAGGTGTAACAATACCATGGCCCTAGATTTCGGAACCAATGTTAAGAGGTACAGGTCACCCGCAAAAAATCTATATCTCTTTGGCGAGAACAACCTGTTTGTGTATGAGAAATCCAACATCGACGCCATGTGCAACTGTTTCTTACCTACGAATGAAAAGTCAGACTTTATATTTGACAGACACTTTAGAGCAACATACAACGTACAACGGCATTAGTGAACAAGAAAGATAAATTGGGTTGGGAAAATTTAAAAAATCCGTAAAAATCGAGTTACTTAGTCCAAGTAAAACTCTTTATAGCGTTTAATGAACTTTCGAGGTTCTATGTATACAGTTGTTGTGTATGCGTACCTTTACTTATTTACTTACCATTGAATAGTGAAGTCCTATTACAGTATTCAATCATACATGTTTAAATCGTAATACAATTGGTATCGTATATATCTTAGCGTTTAACTGCGTACATTTCATTTTGTTACAATCCACTAGAGAAGATTAACAAAATGCCAAGTGAGAGGGACTTTGGCTGATAGATTTCCATCAAGTGAGCTGGAAGACTTCTGACATGACAATATATTAATGTCCCGCCGAAGCAGAAATCATTTATATTCTTCTACAAGCCCGGTTCTCGGGGAGGGCACCGATAAGAAGGAGGTTTTGACAGATGTTCTACCATATGAAAGATGTCTTCGTCACAAGTTATACGGTTTGTTGCAGCTTCTAAGGAAGTTAAAAGGGGGGCTTTTAGACCGATGTCGTTAGGATATGATTTCGTTAAAAGCTTGTGATAATATTAATCCCGTTTACGTCATTTTTGTAATTTTGTAATAAATGCCATGCAAATGAACGTTTTGTAATTATCTTTGTCTTTTATCAAATTAGAGTTATCACTGTAAAATATTATGTGAAAATTATGTTTTTTTATTAATTCAAAACGGCTGAGACCCTTGTTTAAACAAACCGTAATTGTTAAATAAATAATACCGGTGAAGGTATGTTGAACTAACAACAAGTGAAAATATGACTGCATGTTTATAGAACATCATGAACACTATGTACAATCCAAAATCAGCTATATTTTTATAATTGCAGTTTGATTAATTTTCGTGTTTTGTTTCAGAGGGGATGCGTTCCTGGAGCCGTACATGCAGGGGCTGGGCTCCGAGCTCAGCACATCTACTAGTCTCGTCAACAAGCAGCAGCAGCAACAGCAGCAGCAGCAGCAGCAGCAGCACGATCAGCAGCAAGAGACTGACAACCATCAGCGGCGCATTGCAGACTCGCTGACAGCGCAGTTCCGCATCATACCTGACATCACCGACCACCCCAGACCCAGGCCTCCGCACCAGGTCAGTGTCTCACAACTACGAATATATTTGTCTCAAAACTAAGAATTTATTTGTCTCACAACCCCGAATCATAAAAGTTAAAAAAAAAAACATTATTGCACTTTTCTAAAATCTGAGTCTATTGAGCAAACAATTAAGAAAATATGTCTCAACATACTCTTATTGTGCCACAAAACGAAATGTGTCTTAACTACAATTAAGTTGTCAAACTACTACGATTATCTGACTAATACGAATCCTATTTAACAACAACAACAAATTGTTTGTCTCATAATTCCAAATATAATTTTCAAAATAACACATATATTTGTCTTAAAACCACAGATCTTTCGTATCACTGCTCGGAGTATACTTTTCTCGGGTCTCTGAATCATAATATCTCATTGCTAGGATGGAATAAGACAGGTTGCATAACAAATGGTATCATCAACCATCAAATTATGCAGGCTGTATTAATTTTACGGTATTTTTTTCAACTAAGACATGTTTAAAATATAGGCCATTTTATAAGTCTAATGTGTGTAGGGCCTACATGTATATCAAATTTCTACTTTAAGGAAGACAAATTGGATAATATTTTTACACATTATTATAACGTAGTCTTTTTAGTTAAAGATATACTCTGCTTGAGCTGCAAAACGCTTGTTGTGTAGGTCTTTAGTTTCTGCCATTACAATACTAACAAAACGTTTTACAGATAAGTAGCCTATGTAAAAACACACTGTAAATCCTGAAAGATAGCAACCCTATGCGACTTTTACGCTTGAAAATACACCAGTAAGGTAGCCAACGCAATATCCCCCCCTGTTGTATTGTTGGACCTTAGTATTGTCATACAAGTACCTTACTGGCCATTAGAAACCATCCATTGTGTGTTTTGGAGGGTTCTCAAATGTTCTCAAGCACATAAATATACGTTTCCAGCTTTATTTTCACGGGCAAAATTTGATATTTGGTTTGAGAAGTCAAGAAAAAATCCCTTTTTGGTTTTAAAGTAGTTACCCTTGTTAGGACGGTGTTGACCTATTCTAATATCAATATTGTTATGAATAGACTTACTATTACATTTTAAAGCGGCATATCAAATTATTCTAGGTGGGGAGTTTTCTAGATACCCAATTAATTTGTTTCCATGGCACCAAGTGAGTTGGCTTCTTTCAATGATCCGTAATTGGTAATTAGTTTTCATATTAATTGGTCTTCATGCCAACGAAAAGGGGATCACAATGTTAAAAATTGCTTTGAATTTCAGGCAGCCGGTTTAATATGAGAGCATAGGATATTTTCTTAACTTGGATGTTTGTTTATTATTTCCTTAAGATACTATTGATTATAGAAACAAAGTTATGTTCTTAAATCGATACTGATACTTAAACTATATGATCTGTGGTCATCCTAGAGTGGGCGATACTATGCTTAGAGCGTAGAATATTTAAGTTATTCAATGTATGTTTATTATTTCCTTCAGATACTATTGATTATAGAAACAAAGTTATGTTCTTAAATCGATACTGATACTTAAACTATATGATCTGTGGTCATCCTAGAGTGGGCGATACTATGGGCCGTTAAAACAAACTAGATCATAATTTTATTGTTTAAATTATTATACTACCCACTTTAGCCAACGTGAAGCACTTTATCCAATGTATGTGGGGATCCGGACGTGCTATATTCCCTCTCAAGGTACAAGTTTCTTTCAATTAGGCCGGTCCTTAGAGCTCCGAACTCACTTAGAGATTAAGACGCTAACTTTCTAACCACTGCAGTAACTGTTCTAACCCCTATTGTACTCTTCTTGCGTTCGTATCTTTATACTTTTACCTACATGTTGTACAGAACTGGTTTAATGACTTTAATTACTCTTTGATAACTTTAAAAAAATTATTTTGTTTGATGTTTGTTATGTCGTTTTTGGCATTTTATAAAAGTAAGCATACAGTTTGAATTAAATAAATTGTTAAATGCGGAAAGGTTCCTGGAAAGTTATAATGTGTGAAGCAAAATTACATTGGGATATTTTTATAATGATCACTGTTCCTATGTAAAAAAATGTTTTTCTACCAATTTGTTTAATCGAGGACGTTATACATAACTGATTCGTAGACAATAAGTATTACGATAATTTTTGCGGGTTTCATGTACGAAGGAACATAGAATGAAAACAGTAATATGTACAAATTTGAATATGTACAATATAGTTCATGCCAGAAAATTCTTTGTCGCATTTCTTCAATTTATCATTATTCAATTTTCATAAAATATTTCAGAATTTGTTTGTCAATTCACAGTTAAGAATACAATTTTCCCAGTCCTTTTTAACGAAATTATAAACATTGCAAAAATACTGAAAAGCCATACTTTTACTCATTACTCTGATAAAAATAATGGTTTAAAACAAAAGTTCAAAGGGGTTGAATTAATTACCTTTGTAATTTCTTCTTTATGACATGTATGCATTTATTTTGAAATTGTCCATCCATTTTTATACAAGTGAACATTATTGCGACAAACTGTTTCGCCGTGAGAGGAAAATGGAAGTGACTTAGTATTTTGTGACGTCCAATAAACAGAACGTCTCACCAGATGGTGTCTCGTGTGTGAGAGGGGGTGCGGGGGGGGGGGGCTTTTTGGTATGGGGTACTCTATTTTAACTGATCTTTACTAAGGACTCAGGTGTGAGAAAAACACATGCTCATCAGTTGATAGATTTTGTATCTGTTTCCAAAGATTATTTGCCTCAGTTAGGATAAATAATTGAAGATTACTGTCAAAGCAATATTGATCTCTTTAATTACTTTTCGTGGCGAAAAATTGGAAACATTACCGTCAATAGAAAAAATATTGTAATATGGTATTGTGAATTTCATGTAAAGAAATACCAAGCATTAATAAAAAAATGTGACAAAGAATTTGATTTATCGAGTTTTTTTTACTATATTTTAGTAAAAACTAATCATTATCTGGCTCTTATTGGTTTGTACAGAGAATAAATCCATTGAATTGGCGTTAAGGCTTTACGTTAAATTGTTTTTAAAGGTCATGACATAGTAGTTACTTAGTAGTGTTACAAATACTTTTAGTTGTAATGTTTCTAATCAATGATACACTGAGCAATGTAAAATATTTCAAATATATGAAGCTTATTATATTGCTATTAATTAAAATAGTTCCATATTCTTTAACGAATGTTATTCTATTATCTCTATTCTCAGACAATGTGCGTTTGCTTCGATATATTTTTAACCAAAGTTTTGCAATGCTTTATAAATTCTCATCCATAACTCTTTAAAAAAAAAACATTCCTACCTGATTCAACCAAAGTTGATAAAAGTTACGGTTGGGAAATTTATTCTCCATCACAATAGAGTGGAAAGAAACTCTGTTGGCTTCTACAAATCTGACAGGGTATATGTTATAATCCCATTGATTTCTCGCTCTCGCTGTTCTTTTCACAATTTCATTTATATACCTCTCGGTGAAAAATGGAATACTCAGCTACTGATATTCATTTTATAGAACTATTTTTTTGTGTTTATTTTGTAGAATTTAATTAGAGTAAGTCTATAGACTATGGGGCTGCTGTTGATTCGCCGATTATCAACGTTTGATACTCTACCACCTTTTTATATTGGGTAAAACGAAGCCATGTTAAATAAAAATTGATTAACTATCCCTGTGAGATGAATGAGTATAGTTTATTACTTTTTTAATTTTACACTTATATTTACTTCTAAAAAAGTAGTGTACTACATACTGTAAACAATTTGACTTTTCACAATAATTATTGTATGTGTATCCATGTCCTGTAGTTATACTTGAAAAATAAATTCATTACTTAACTATCCTTCTTGCTTAAAATGTTCGTATTTAAATATTCGCGACTTTATCCCTTTCTCTGACTAATTTAGTGGTGACAAAGCATTATAATAGCAAAATTAGGATGCATTTTGTTTTCTTCAGTGTACGATTTTGGTTTAAAATCTTGAAGACTTTACCCCTTCCTAAACTTTCATCCCCTCGCCCTTATCCCAGTTAATTGACTTGTCCCACTAGAAACTTCCTACTCAGTCGAGATCTTGGGGGTTGGGGGTTGAGTTGTGCAGTTTATTGTTCTGGAATTAGTGACAGTTGGTGAATTACAAAAGAGCATTTCGCAATTACTGTGTTTATAGCTCCTAAATAAGCAGTTTTCTTGCCATTTGAAATGGGTTAAAAAGTGGTTTAGAGCTCTTTAAAGAGTTGGTGAAGAAAGTTAAGGTTTGCTTTTGCTTTTCTTGGGAGTAAGTGACTTTTTTGGGTTTTGTGTTGTTTGATAAATTAAATTGGCCTCTTTGTTGACTTTATTACAAGGAAGTTAAGGGTATTTTTGAGAGTTACTGTAGACCTGAAATGTTCGGTAAAGTAAGGGAAATAGGCTACAAACCTTTCTTTTACCCCAAGATAATAGAATGAAACTAACATGGCGAATTGGTAGATTCAAGGTAATTAAACAGGAGTCAAGCTAATGTGTATCAATATAATAGTAAAAGAGGACATAGATTATACAAATTTTAGAATGTTTCTAAGCCACACTGGATGAAATCAGTTTGTTCTATCCCAAAAATTAGTTTTAACTTATGGAAAACGTTACTTAAAAAAAGAATTGTATTCACTTCCGTAGAAGTTATTATAATGAGTGATAACATATTTAATGAGGGAACCGCGGCTTAAATCGTTTCGAGAGAATATTACTCTTTAAGCCCATCTTTAACACAAACTTCCTAAATGCTTCTTCGTCTCTCCAACTGCTTTTCATAACTTTGCAAGTATAATTTTAGAGCATGCCTACCAAATTGTAACTATCAAAGAAACCGTACTTATTTCTGGCATCGTGATACAGAATTTTAGAAACCTTGGACGTCAATTCACATGGTTTTGTGACTAACTTGATAATTTTGTATTATGTAGTAAGCAAGCAATGTAAAAAATATAATCTCACCCAGGTATATCTCGGTAAT